AATCATCCCTTCTATTAAAAAGACATTTCTCCTTCAAGTGGCACCAGTTCTAGAATTGTGGTTGAGGTTCCTGAAGAGCTGAGGAGTTAAAGATTCAAATTTTCACTCTTGCATGAATTAGTTACATCTGGCCCTGGGGCCACAGCACATTGGTTTCAGGGGTTGGTGGCCTTGCACATGAGGGAGTGAAGTAGGTACTCAGGACTGCTGCTGCATATGGTTATGGAGACTGTTAGTTGCAAGCAAGGTTCTTGGCCTACATTGTATTTCCCTGGGGTGTGCATCTGCCTTGGGAAAAATGGTACCCTTTTCTGTTTTCAAAAATGTTGTTATGTGTCATCGAGTCGGTACCGACTCATAGCGACCCTATGCACAGCAGAATGAAACACTGCCTGATCCTAGGCCAACCTCACTACTGTTGCCATGCTTGAGTCCATCGATGCTGCCACTTGGCCAATCCATCTTGTTGGGGGTCTTCCTCTTTTCCTCTGACCCTCCACCATACCAAACATGATATCCTTCTCCAGCGACTGCCCCCTCCTGACAATATGTCCAAAGTATGAGAGATGAAGTTTGGCCATCTTGGCCTCCAAGGAGCACTCTGGCTGCACTTCTTCCAAAACGGACCTATTGGTTCTTTTGGCAGCCCACATGGCACGTTCAGTATTCTCCTCCAACACCACAACTCAAAAGCATCAATTCTTCTACAATCTCCCTTATTCACTGTCCAGCTTTTGCATGCATATGTTGTTGTTGTTAAGTGCCGTGGAGTCGGTTCTGACTCATAGTGACCCTACACAGGATTTCTGAGGCTGTAAATCTTTACGGGAGCAGACCGCCTCATCTTTGCATATGAGGTTACTGAAAATACCATGGCTTGTGTCAGGCGCACCGTAGTCCTCAAACTGACATCTTTGCTCTTCAACACTTTAAAACGGTCTTGTGCAACAGATTTGCCTAATGCAATACGTCCTTTGATTTCTTGACTGCTACTTCCATGAGTGTTGATGGTTAATCCAAGAAGAATGAAGTCCTTGACAACTTCAATCTTTTCTCTGTTGGTAAGAATGTTGTTTATTGGTTTAGTGGTGAGGATTTTGGTTTTCTTTACATTGAGATCCATACTGAATGCTGTGCTCTTTGATCTTCATCAGTAAATGTTTTAAGTCCTCTTCACTTTCAGCAAGCAAGGTTGTATCATCTGCATATTGCAGGTTGTTAATGAGTCGTCCTCCAATCCTGATGCCACATTTTTCTTCATAGAACCCAGCTTCTCAGATTGTTTGCTCAACATACAGGTTGAATAAGTATGGTGAAAGAATACAACCTTGTCACAGACGTTTCTTAATTTTAACCATTCAGTGTTCCCATGTTCTGTTCGAACAGCTGCCTCTTGGTCCAGGTATAGATTCCTCATGAACACAATTAAGTGTTCCAAAATACTCATACTTCGCAATATTGTCCATAGCTTGTCAAGATCCACACAATCGAAAGCCTTTGCGTAGTCAATGAAGCACAGGTAAACATCTTTCTGATATTCTCTGCTTTCAGCCAAGATCCATCAGATATCAGCATAAGCATGGTAATGAGTCCTAGAAACAGTTTCACAGATATAGGTGTATATGAACTCTAAATTCTCATGTAGTTGTGTGCAATCAAGTCAGTTCTGACTGATAGCAACCATGTAGAGGGTTTCTAAGGCTGTAAATCTTTACTGAAGATTTACTGTGGTGCGGCTGGTAGATTCAAGCAGTTGACCTTGCAGTTAGCAGTCCAATGTGTAATCCACTATGCCACTGTTGTTGTTGTTATGTGCTGTGGAGTTGGTGCCGTGGAGTTGGTTCCAACTCACAGTGACCCTGTACAGGGTTTCTGAGGCTGTAAATCTTTATGGGAACAGAAAGCCTCATCTTTCTCCCACAAAACAGCTGGTAGTTTCGAACTGCTGACCCTGAGGTTCACAGCATGTTTAATAACCACTACGCTACCAAAGCTCCTTTATTAGAGCTCCTAAATTATCATATTCTTTATTAAATATTCTTAGACTCTTAATTATTAATTATGAATGCAAAACAAAAAAGACATTGTGAATCATTAGTTCATTGAGAGCTGCCTACAACTATCCAGCTGTAATGGAAAAATAGGATTCTTCCTGGTATGTGACAAAGACCTCTCGTTAGAGGCAGGCATCTCACTGGTCTGTCCAGTTTGGATTTGGCTGGTCTCTGTTGTATGTGTCTTAAATAAACAAGTTTCTTTTTTGGCAATGTTGGCAGACATACGGAATGTAGAGTCTGGCAAAAGCTGTGTCAAACAAGGTCCTTAAGTTAGTTAGCAGCTAGCTTTTACTGTCACTGTCATGGCTGAGGAAGTAACTTCCAATTGGAAAACAAAAGTAGTTCTCTTGCCAAAGGACAAGCATATTCATCACTTATTCTACAAACAGAAAGGACAGTGCTTAGTGCTTTGCTAAGCAAGTATTAATCACTGAACTGGTTTGAAAACATTGCTATAGAAAATGTTTAGCTATTATGCTTTGAATGTATTTACAGTTGGGAAAGTTGTTTGTGATATGTAAATGTATTCCCTAGCTCTTCCTGATAGCAGAAAATCTAATGACTTTCAAATGTGATATGGGGCTCTGTTTTCTCTTATTAAATGTGAATGCTGATAGAAGCAAGCTGTTGGGAGGTGGAATTTGGCCAAATATCCGTTTGGTTTTTTGGAGCTGTTTTGTGTGGCTCTTTGGATAGGAGGAGTTTATGAAAGTTACAAATTCATAATTTATATTCATTCTTTATACAAGTTACTATTTTTAGCTATTGGTCTAACTTGTTGGTTTCAACAGCTGCTTCTTAGAAACCCTATGGGTCCAACAAAAAGCCTTGTTTTGTTTGTTGTTTGTTAAACATAAGAGGATTTGACTTATCTAAAAGATTTTACCAATGAGTCTCTGAAGGAGACAAAATATCCTCTTGTGAATCTTGAGTGCAGGTTTACAGAGCAGATCAGCAGTTTTACATTAACAAATAATGCAATTTGTTTTATCTCAATGTAACATCACTTATCCAATTTCTTCCTTGTTTTTGTTTCAAATGCTCCTTCCTTGTTTACTCTTTGAACTTTGTCCTTGGGTAAATGATACCCTTTGGATCTCTAATGGTTGATCCTTTTATGGAATGCATACCTTACTGGTATAATTGTCCCCCCTGTATACCTGTCTATGACTAGTAAGCCTGGTCTTTTTGTTGTTTTATGATTTTGAGTTTTGTCGCACATTTTCTCCCACTCTATCCCGGACCTACCTTCTGCTGTGATCTTGAAGAGACGTATGTTGAAATAAAGCTTGTTGTATTTAGCAGCCCAACTCTTGGCAATCCCATGCACAGAGGATGGGCCTTTGTGGAAATAATAATAAAGAAAAATAACTTCTTGCAGAGAGTTATACTTATTAGTTCTTTCTTTTAAATTTTAAAACATAACAGCAACCATTTCCAAGAAAGAGCAGATATTTGAGTTTCAATCCTGTGGGACAGATTCCACTATTGTTTTACTTATATCTTTAGGCCCACTGTCTGGGGATAGTGAAATAAACACAAATGATTGCACCTCCTTTCTAAGTCCCATTATAAAGAACAATAGTTTAAAAGGAAGACTAGAAAGATAGAAAGCTTTTTATGTGACAAAAGCGTAAATCCTGCTGAATTTATTAGGCGGGAAGAGATTTTAAGTGCCAGCGTTGCAGCACTTTATTTATTCTGTGTGCTGAACAAGTTGTAAAAAAAAGTTTAATATGAAATATCTACTGTAAGTTTCATAACAGCCCTATTATTATTGCACCCATTTAACAGATGAGGAAAATGAGGCTAGTCCAGGGAAACACGTCAGTAACTAAGGTGTAAGGACTTGATTTCAGAAGTCTCTGATTATTAAATATATGCCACTCACATCAGCTGACATAACTTTAACTCTAACTCACTGCCATCAAGTTTTCTCTGACTCCAGTGACCCTGTATAACATTAATGAGGAGTGACTAGTGGGTTTGAACCGCAGATAGTTAGCAATCCAGTGCTTATCCTACAGCATAACACCAGGACTCCATTGCAATTCACAGTGACTCTCAATAGGGTTTCTAAGCTGTAAATCATGATGTGAGCAGAGCGGTTTACAGTTAGTCATCCAGTATTTACCCTGTGGGACCACCAGGGCTCCTTAACTTTGTTGTTAACTGCCATCAAGTCAGGTCCAGCTCATAGCGATTCTGTATGGAGTTTCCAAGGAGTGGTTAGTGGGTTTGAACCATGAAACTATGGTTAGCAGTCCAGTGCTTATACTGCAGCACCAGTTGTTAAGAACCAATTAAAGTGGAGAAAGGAACACTTAAATCCAGAATAAAACTCTCCTGGAATTTAAAAAATGAATGAAGTGTGTCCTTATGATATACTTTTTAGACTCTAGTGTTGTTATACAATTTCTAGATACTCTTTCAGTGTAAATGCTGACGTTGGAGAACAGACCAAAAGGTTTGAGAGAAATATTGCACAGTCTGTTTTAACACCAAATATCCACCCTTGTTACTGTGTGATTTATAGGCAAGTAGATCAGAAGGAAACAATCGTTGGATAAGGATGTCATGCTGGGTAAGGTGGAGGGTCAGAGAAAAAGAGGAAGACCCCTAACGAGATGGATCAGCCAGGTGGCATCATTGATGGACTCAAGTGTAGCAGCGGTGGTGAGGTTGGCCCAGGATCGGACATTGTTTCGTTCTGCTGTGCATGGGGTCGCTATGAGTCGGTTCTGACTCGATGGCACCTGACAACAACAACAACAACAGATCAGAAGGAATCTCACACATTCAGTTTGTAATTCTGCATGGGAAAAATAGTTTTACAATTTATGTTGTTTTTAGGGAAGAGTGTGATAAGGGGGGATAAAAGCTTCTTAGCAAGTTTTATATGTGTTTTTAAATGTTGTTTTTTCATTCTCTGGACTGTAATAGGATTTCCGGGATGCAGTAGCGCACGCTTCCAGGCAACTTGGAAAACCAGTGATTGAGGACCGAATTCTGAATCAGATCCTGTATTACCTGCCTCAGCTGTATGAGCTCAACCGGGATCTCCTAAAGGAAATGGAGGAAAGATTGTTGACCTGGTAAATACGGAGTTATCGCTGTCCGGGTGTGACAAAGAAGTACTGTTCCTTACATCAAGTTGTTATAATATATCAATTTTTATTGGCAGTTACCTGTAGATTGAATTTTTTTTTTTTTTTTTTGGTGTCCCAAATCAGCAACCTTGGTGCAGCACAAGTTCAGTGTCATGGTTTTTAAAGTTTTCTTAATAATGTGATATCAGAAGTAACCTCAGTTACAAAAATCAAACCCACTGCTCTTGATCCCATCCTACAGGACAGAGTTTTCAAGGCTATTGTTGTTAAGTGCTGTTGAGTTGGTTCAGACTCATAGCGACCCTGTATAGGGTTTCTGAGGAGTGGCTAGTGAGTTTGAACCACTGACCTTTGAGTGCTTATCCTCCTGTGCCACACCAGGACTCCAAGTTTGAATCTCTGACCTTTTGGTCAGCAGCCTATCCCTTAACCATGACACTAGAGCTCCTATGCAGGAGTAAGGCCTCATATGTAGTCGACTTTGTTTTATATCTTGGCTTTTGATAATCAAGAGTTTTGAACTTCAGCTTGCCTGATACATTCCAGTTGGAAACATTTTAGAATGCTTTATCTTTTCTTTTGTGTAACCTCATGGAACTAAAGTTCATTGTTTTTTTTTTGTTGTTGTTTTTTTTTAAAGGCACTTACTGGGAAGTAAAGAGGTTTGACTATTTGCTTCCTTCCTTGTTTGTTTTGGAAAGGCAAATTTATATTTCTTTGACATTGTAGAAACTGTAGATTTCAGAACTAGAAAAGAAAGCCAGAGAGCTTACTGTTATGTGTTGTTACATGCTGTGGTTCTGACTCACAGTGACCCTGCATTGAGTTTCGAAAGCTGTAAATCTTTGCAGGAGCAGAAATCCTCATTATTCTCCCCTGGAGCTGCTGGTGAACTTCAGCTGCTGACCTTGTAGTTTACAATCTAGAGCTTATCCTACAGTGCTAGAAGCTACTTTTTTTTTTTTTTTAACTTCGTAACTCCTGATTTGTTGTTGTTGTTAGTGGCCATCAAGTAGAACCCGGCTCGTGGTGACTCATATGTGCAAAGTAGGATTTTCAAGGCTGTGACCTTTCCTTTTTAAACAATCTTTTTATTGTGAATTGAGTGAAGGTTTACAGAGTAGATCATCAGTTTTGCACTCAACACATCATATACTGTGTTTCAAATGATTGCAATCCCCTCCATATACCATCAGTTAACAGTATTTACCTCTTTCACTTTAACTCTTGCTCTCCTCCCTGCTGTCTTCTACAACATTGTTGTTGTTACGGTGCCGTGGAGTCGATTCCAACTCACAGCGACCCTGTACACGGTTTCCAAGGCTGTAAATCTTTACTGGAGCAGAAAGCCTCATCTTTCTCCCGCGGAACAGCTGGTAGTTTTGAACTGCTGACTTTGAGTTTCATAGCCTGATTCGTAATCACTACACTGCCAACATTAGGGAGACAGAAAAGGCAATCTATAACAAGAGGGAGGTTAGCAGAGTGAAGATGAAGGTAGAAAATAAGCAGAAGCTTTGGTGATGTTAGTGAAAACATAAGTGTGGCCCACGAGAATTAAATTTATTGTTGAAGTAATGGGTGACCCAAAATGATTAGCATACCAGAATAATGTACTTAAATGATGCAAATTTTTACTTAAGCTTTCCTTTATATAATCCATAAAGTACTGTCTGTCTTGAAAATGTGCTTCTACATGTTGGAAAATTGCTAGTTATACAATTAATACTTAAGCCTAACAGAGTTAAGAACTAAGGATTGACTGAAAGTTAGTTTTTAAATGTCATGCTAGGACTAAAATATAATTATAAGAAGTTTTCTTATCATATATTTAGTTATTTTATATATAAAAATTCATCTGAAATGGCTGAGCAGATAGGCATATTTATACAAGTAAGTGTTGGGAAGAGGCTTAAATATATTACTTGAACCAAGAGTTTGCTCTATTATAGATCTGTAGATGCTCTGTTAAAATATTATGCATTCCTACCTAAAAATCATACCAAATCAATGAAAGGCAAATTAAAGATCTAATTTAGAGAAAACTAACCATTACTCAGAAAATTCTTGTAATTCTTGGATAAGATTTTCTGTTTATCAAAATACTTTTCTCTCATGGTGTTTGAGTGAAGACATTTTTTATTTTGTGAAACTTTTCGGTAATCACGTTTTTCCATCAGCTGATGAACTATTTCATTGTGACATATAACAGGGTAATCTACTGAGTGCTAGTCAGTGTAAGGAATGTAACACTACGAAAGACATATAGGACTCTTGCTTTTATTGGACATACATTTTAGTTGAGGAAACGAAAACCCATTATTGTTGTTGTTAAGTGCCATCGAGTCGATTCCATAGCGACCCTGTATAGGGTTTCCAAGGAACAGCTGGTGAGCTTGAACTACTGACCTTGCAGTTCAAACAACTTTGCAGTCTGATGCATTAGCCCACAGTGCCGCACCAGGAAAAACCCACTACCTTTAGTCTATTCCTACTCACAAGAACCCTATGTAGGATTTCAAAGATTGTAAATCTTCACGCCAGCAGACAGCCTCATCTTTATCCCATGGAGTGACTGGTGCTTTTGAATCACTGACCTCAAAGTTAGCAGCCCAATATCTAACCTAGAACAAGACATATCAACAAGAAAAATATCAGCTAGAAACATCTGTAATCTGCAGAGAATTAAAATAGGATAAGTTGAAATGGTGACTAAGGACTGGGTTGCACAGAAGACATTCCAACAAGGCAGAGCATTTAACATTAAAATGGTTGAATGAAAAGGAGTCAGCCGAGGTTCCATATTTATTGATGCAAGGGACCATTATTAAAGCTCTTCAAAGAAGGAATGAGCTGTGGAGGTTAAAAGAATGTATAAGGAAGGCCAGCATGGTGCAGAGATGGGGAGAGCAATGGGAGATAGGCAACAGTTGGCCTGACTCATGGGGCTTTAGAAGCCAACGGAAGGTGGGTTTTGTTTTAATGCAAAGTGCACATTATGTCACATGAAAGATATATTTTTAAGATACTCTTGTTACCTTGAGGGGCGCCCTGGTGACACTCGCTGCAAACACAAAAGATGCATACGTTGAACCCCCAATCACTTTTCAGGAGAACAATGCAATACTTCGCTTCCGTAAACAATGTATAGCCTTGGAAACTCTATAGGTCACTTCTGCTGTGCCCTGTAGGATCACTGTGAGTTGGAATCAGCTCTACATCCATGGACGTGCTTTGGGCTGCACTGAAGAATCAACTGTAGGAGGCAGTAGTCCAGACAAGAAAAGCTGGTGGCTTGAACTAGGTGGGGGGATGTGGAAATGATGAAAAGTAAGCTTTTGGCGGGGGATCTGTTTTATAAGAAGAGAAAAAAAGAAGGTCATACCCATGGCTTCTATGTAGGTCTTTGTTCTTCTTAATATTTTGGATAAATCAATGACTTTTTGTATTTTTGTGTATTATTTTCTCCATACTAAGGACTGAACAACAAAGAATTGCTGATATATTTGTAAAGAAGGGACCATATTTAAAAATGTATTCTACATACATCAAAGAATTTGACAAGAATATAGCTTTGCTGGATGAACAGTGCAAGAAAAACCCAGGTTTTGCTGCTGTTGTTAAAGACTTTGAGGTACTCTTCACCACCCTCTCATGGTGAACATTTCTTAGTTTTTAACTCAACCTTTTCTTTTATTCTTCTGAAAACCCACCTACAATGCTGGATGACAAAAATACTTTATGTTTCCCTTTCAGTAAACAAATAGCACAATTTTGATATTAAGAAAAATGAATACTATAGCTATAGCATGTGTGTCAAATATGGGTGTTTGGACTCAAAACTATAAAGTGGTAGCTTGATTTGATAAGAGATAAAGTGATATAAACAATTCTTTTTAGTTGGTTTTTAACTGATTACCATAAAATGTTATTTAAGCCCTATCTCCATTTTTGGGTATAATTTGTGTTTCTATATAAATGGAATTCTGGTAGTGTAGTGGTTACGAATCAGGCTGCTAACCTCAGGGTCAGAAGTTCGAAACTACCAGCTGTTCTATGGGAGAAAGATAAGGCTTTCTGCTCCCGTAAAGATTTACAGCCTCGGAAACCCTGTACAGGGTCGCTGTGAGTCAGAACCGACTCCATGGCACACAACATATGAATGGAAAGTTTCTGGCAGTCCCCAAAATACTATAGGAGTTCTGTTCCAGTGACTCCATTGTAAGTCAGTTCTAAGTAAGTCTAATACCTCTTTCTTATTTAAAAAAAAAATTTTCATTATTATTGTCTTTTACTATCAGGTTCTTTATAAATCCAATCTATATTTGCCTTTGGGGGTTGGAAACATTACATATAGCCATTTAGTGGATAGCCGAGCCTGCTAACATCAGCAAATTACATACTACAACATTGTTTGTAGTACAAATTTCTTATGATAAGATGTAACACACACACACACACACAAAGGACAGTTTGTCATAACTTTGAATACATCTTAAGTTGGGGACTTCATGTAGTAAAGTATCACTGATTTCTCATATGGACAGTGGAACTTTAAATCATTTGTAAACCTGTTTTTTTCTTTTCCTAACTCTATTGTCTTTGTGCTATTAAAAAGAAATGTAAGGTAACTATGGTAACTGATAGCTGATCTACATTTTGGTCAGTGGTCAGTGTCCTTAGCAACAAAAGAAGACATGAGAGGAAGGAATTTAGCTCTCGTGATTAATGATGCTTGCATTATCTTCATAATTTCATGATTATTCTTTGTGTCAAATACTACCACCCATTGCCATTAAGTTGATTTTGACTCATACGGACCCTATAGGACAGAGGACATCTATTTCCATAAAGATTTATAGTCTTAGAAACTCTCATCTTTTACTGGAATAGCTGGTGGATTTGAACGGTCAACTTTGAGGTTAGCAGCCCAATGCTTAGCCACTGTGCCCACAGGGCTCCTTTGTCAGACACCAAAAGTGCATATTTAAGAAAGAAAAAAAAAATGAAAACAGCCTTCTCTCTCTTCCTGAACTGTGTAATGAATAGGGCATTTTACTGTGGCCCTAAGAATGCATGGGACATTTTCACTTTTTGATGTCACTTTACAGCAAATGCTGCCTAGGTTAGGGAATGCTCAGTAATCGGCAGAGGTGTCTGTTGTACATAGTAAGAAAATAAATTTTCAAGGCAGGTTGAAAATGTCCTGTGATAAGTAAAAATGATTCTAGAATGTCCATCTGGGCCTCACTATAGTTTTGAGGGCTATCATTTATAACCATTCATCTGAGAAAGAGTTTTACATTCTTCTGGCTTTTTAGAGAAGAGACATTTGACTAGACTGCTTGTTGGGTGGTCTGTCATTTCCATAGTTCTTTCCAACCACCCCATTCTTATCCTCAGTGTAGTCACCACAAGATGTCATTATTTGAATCTTAATTCCCAGGAGCTTTATTTCTGCTGCCTTGTTTTGGGGACAATGCATCATCTTCTTGTTTCATTGGAGTTTATTTGTATTTATAAGTATGCTTCTCTGTGTGGGATCTACTGAGTAGGGTGGGCTCTCGCTGGCTTAGAATTCAGGCCGTGACTGTCCTGCTGTGTATGATTGGTATGAACACACTTTCCCCATGAGTCAGTGAGTGCTTTCAGAGACCTTCCTAAAAGAGAGGGTGTGCCTAAGGCAATGTTTTACATCCTATTTTGTAGTATCAACTGGGGTCTTAAAAACTCAGGAACAACCATCAAGGTACAGCTATTGGTCTCTGCCTGTCCAGAAGAAAGAAGCAAGATAAAAATCAAAGACATATGAAACAATTATTCCAATGGACTAATGGAACACATGAACAGCAGTTCACACTACACTGAAACCAGAAGATCTAGATGGTGTCCGACTACCACTACTAACTGCTCTGAAAGGGATTATGTTAGGAGGGAGAAAATGTAGAACAAAATTCAAAATAAAAAAAAAAAAAGGCCAGGTTCACTGATGAGATCGAGACTGGTGGAACCCCTGAGATTATGGCTGTTAGTCATCCTTCAGATCTGAAGACAAAATTACACCCATGGCTCAATTTTCAGCCAGTGATAAATAGACCTATACTGGGAACAGTAACACTGGTGAGATCTGCACACCTTACACTATTCAACCATTTGAGATCGACAGGGCAGCATTTACCCAAGGGCAAAGCTCAGAAAGTTTTGGAAAGAGGGAGGAATGGAAACAGGAACTACAGGGAGGAAGTGGGATAAGTGATGTTGCATTGTGGGGATTGCAATCATGGAGATGAAACAAAATATGTATCAATTATTGAATGTGAAATCGATGATCTGCTCTGTAAACCTCCCAGTTCACTATAAAAAATTAAGAAGAGAGAGAATGCATTAGATGATGAATCTAGTTCTACTCTTAGTATAACAAAACAAAAAAATTCATTGCCATTGAGGTAATTCCATCTCATGGTGACCCTGTATAGGGTTTCCTAGGCTGTAAATCTTGATGGGAGCAGAAAGCCTCATCTTTCTCCCATGGAGTGACTAGGGGGTTTGAACTGCTAAACAGTGCTTGTCACTAGCTGTCCAGTGCTTATCCTACAGTGCCACACCAAGACTCCTAATGTAACAACTGTGCTTTAAAATAAAAGGGAGCTTTGATTTTAAACTCCTTCTGGAGTTGTGAGATGTTTTCAGTTTAGCTTCCTGGACACTTGTATCTGGGTGTCTTAAGCCAAACTAATTGCTATTGAGTCACTATGTGCTAGAGCACAACTTTACTCTGTAGGATTTTCTAGAGTTGTTTCTTTGGAAGTAGGTTACCAGGCCTTTAAAAAATGCTTGTATTTACTTTGGCTGCCTTTTCCTTTCAGATGAGCCCACGCTGTGCTAATCTGGCCCTCAAGCACTACCTGCTCAAACCTGTCCAGAGGATTCCCCAGTACAGGCTGCTGCTGACAGGTGGGCTTTTCCAGCAGTTTACCTGCCAACCTGCTGCCCTTTTACTGTTCATATGAAATTTCATGAGCATCTCTCTTTTTACTTTACTCCAATAATAGCCTAATAATTGGATTTGTAGATGACTTCTATACCTTACATACACACTGCATAAACTAAGCTGCTTTGATCATACCTGGAATTTCTTTTTCTCAGAACACATTTCACCCTCCTAACTCCATCCTCCTTTATTTTACTTGAGTATTACGATTAATCCCAAGAAGGTCGCTTGATCACTTGAGATGGCATTTAGATGACCACTCAAGATGGCATTTAGAAGTTCACAGCCACATATTTCTCTAATGTTATCTTGGTCCACATCACTTACCTCAAAGGTTGGATGTAAGGACTTAGATTGAGGTAAGCAGTGCGTTGAATAATGCTTTTGTCCTGTTGTTGTTGTTAAGGGCTGTTGAATCAGTTCCAACTCATAGCGACCCTTCATAGGGTCTCGAAGAAGTGGCTGCTTGAGTTTGAACCACCAACCTTTTGGTTAGCAGATCAGTGCTTATCCTACAGTGCCTCACCAGGAACCCATAGCAACTTCTAAGTAAGTGGTATGGGCTATTAGTAGTAGCAGTTCCTTCCTTCTGCTCTATGTCCTCCTCCTCCTCATTATTATTATTATTATTTTATTGATATAACGTGCTGTTTCACTGTATCTTCTTAGACTACAAGCTGCAAGAGGGCAGGTCTATATCTGTTTAGTTTACTACTCTAATATTTAAAAACAAAAACCTAATAGCTGCCATTGGAATTAAGCCTACACACTGTACTCAAGACTTTATATTCATTTTTTTAAAAATTCTTACCATAGCCAAGCAAATTTCACATTATTTTCACAAAGGAGATTAACAGATTTATTTTGGTTTAGTGGTTTGGCAACCTAAAGATAATTAATATAATCTCTGAACCTAACATAGATACAATACATACTGTTAGGTCTTCTTGAATGGATTGACTGTGAATTGAATGTGCATTCATTTAGTATACATACATTATAGGCACGGTGGCTCCATATGATAAGCACTGGATTGCAAACCACAAGGTCAGCAGTTCGAGCCCGCCAGCCTCTCTGTGGGAGAAAGATGAGGCTTTCTGCTCCCTCGAAGATTTTCAAAGCCTTGGAAATCCTATGCAGGGTCATTATAAGTCAAGACCAACTCCAAGGCTCTTAACAACAACATTGGCACCAATAATGATACTGAAATAGACAAAACAAGAATTCTATTGAAATAGACAAAAACAATGAAATGCCACCACAATTCTAAATTTCATCTGTAATAATTTTATCTAAACAGATTCTGACGTTCTTGGTTCTTACTGTTGTTAAGTGCTGTCAAGTCGGTTCCGTCTCATAGCGACCCTGTATAGGTTTTCCAATTAGTGGCCTTTAAAAAACAGAGTGTGTGTGCTGTTTCCTTAAATCACTTTGTCTTAAGCCATGAGCTATCTTGGAGGTAGCTGGTGAATCCTGGAAAGCTAGAATTTCCCAGTATCTCTTTCCTCAAAGACTTTAAGCTTCCCAAGCTTACCTAGTGACAGGCAAGCTGCTGATGGAGAAGGCCTAGGAAGGCAAGTGTTTCATTTGAATTTCTAACTGTGAATCAGGCACTCGATTTTTTTCCTGGGATGACATAGGCAGACCAAATAATCTGAGGATATCCTGTCCATCTGTACTTTCTTTCCTCTCCCTTTGCCAGAGATTTGGAATATACAAGACAAAAGGAAGTACTGATGCACTTGTTGTGTATTTGCTAGATAAAATCTGAGCTCGTTCATAAACCAGCCATGCATTACTTAAACTGTTTCTACAGCTGTCAAATGAGGTACTGTTTTTAATGGCAAAAAACCCCAAAAACCCAAAACCCCAAAATCTATGGTTTCAAATGTAGGAAAGACGGAACAAGATCATGAAAGTTTAGTATAGAAATATTTTTATCATATCATGTCTGATATAAGTAGTAAAAAAAAAAAAAAAAACAAAATAGAAAAACCCAAACACCTACATCATCTTTAATTCATGCTGAGTTTATTTTTGATTGAGAAATGTCGAAATAGCAAAAGCAACTTATAAAAATTATCTTTAAAAGAACAGATTTCATTTATTTTATATTACCAATATAATGTGAGCTTGAGATTGTTTTCAGTTTTGAGCTGCCATTTGTTTCATTTTAAAGCTATTTCATTTCTCTCTTCAATTGGAAAAATCTGTGCTGCACAATATATTTTATATAGAAGACTCTCAATAATTGTGTATTCACTAAGGGACAAATGAATGGCTCCTTCAAGGTCACAAAATCAGGATTAAAGTTAAAGAACTGTGTGTTCTTTAAAGTTAAAGAACACTGTGTGTTCACTGTCCTGTACCGTTTCTTTCATGAATTCAAGTTCTTCTGTTGATGCAAGTTCTCCCCCTCCTTCAAGCTGGACCTGCAATCCTCCATTTAACTAGCTCTGTTTATTCCAATTCTGTTTGACCTTTAGAAAGGGTGCCATGTGACTCAGCAAATATTTATGTGCTGCCTTGTGAATTTACGAATTTTTTATAATTTCAATGTTTGTTCCTTAGTTTAATTATAAACTCCTTGAAGTCAGGAAATTTGTCTTATAAATAATTGAGTGTCTCCTTACAATATCTGAATGCAGAAATCATTGACCAATATCATTAATATCCCATGCAAGTAAAATTTTCTGAAGATAATTTTTAAAAAATGGCTGCCACAGTATATCAACAGGGAACTGCCTAAAACTCAAGCCAGATTCAGAAGAGGATGTGGAACTAGGGATATCATTGCTGACATCAGATGAATCTTGGTTGAACACAGAGAATCCCAGAAAGATGTTGCTGTTTTTAAGTGCAGACAAGTTGGTTCTTACTCATAGCGACCCTGTACAGGGTTTCCAAGAAGCACCTGGTGGATTTGAACCACCGACTCTGTGGTTAGCAGTCCAGTGCTTATCCTACAGCACCATACCAGGACTCCAGAAGGACGTTTGTTGATAAGTGCCATGGAGTCCTTTCTGACTCATAGCGACTTTGCGGTTCAGACTGACCTAGCATTTCAGTGCTTATCCACACCAGGCTTCCCCTGTCCTAGGGTCACTGTAAGTCGGACCTGACTGGAAGGTACCTGACAACAACAGCAAAGTGGTCATGTATCTTAAGGACAGATAAGGGCTGATACTAGGGCCTGTTTTGTATTTTTATTTAAAATTCTGATTTTGTGATTCATTTTGAAATGTTTTGAGTTCCTCCTTCTGTCTTTGCTATCAAATAAATGCTCCTTACATTTTTATAGGTTGGATTTTGTCTTTTTTTTGCATCTTATATTCACTGGGCTGATGCCTTTGGATAAAGAAGCACAGTTGTTTAATTTGCACAACAGACTTGTAAAGGGAATACTTTCCTTTCCATTTTAGAATTTGGAATCATTCCAAAGGCACAGAATTTACAGGAGCAGATAGGAGAGAGTGACAGTTCTGATTTATTGATGAGTTTCAGGCAGTGAAGTAAAGGATTCCAGTCTGCCTCCCTGTAAGTAGATGGATGCCTGTGTTGGTTCCTTGGGAGGGGAAGATTGTGAAATGCAGATGAAGTACTGATAAGAGAGAAAGGTTTCTTTTGGAAAACTTTTAGAGAAAAGTGGGTGGAAATTCCCAGATAAAGAAATCCTGCCCTACTATTTTGGACTGCTAGAAGAACAAACAAATCTGTTGGAAGAAGTACAGTCAGAATGCTCCTTAGAACCCAGGATGGCCAGACTTCATCTTTCATACTTCCGACATATTCTCAGGAGGAACCAGTCCCTGGAAAAGGATAATCATGCATGGTAGAGTAGAGGGTCAGTGAAAAAGAGGAAGACCCCCAGTGAGGTGAATTGGCACAGTGGCAACAACAAGTGGCTCAGGTGTAACAATGATTGTGAGGATGGTCCAGGACTGGGCAGTGTTTCCTTCTGTTGTGCGTGGGGTTACCATGAGTCAGAACTGACTTGATGACACCTAACAGGAGCAACAGAGTCTTGATGTGGTGCTGTAGGCTAATGCACCAGACTGCAAAGTCATTTGGATTACAAGGTCAGTGGTTCAAACTCACCAGCTGCTCCTTGGAAACCCTATATAGGGTCGCTATGGGTCAGAATTGACTCAACAGCACTTGACAACAATAACAGCCCACCATCATTCTAAGCCTTTTTGTCTTGCAGTGTCTTTTGAGGACATTATTAGTGTTTCTATAGGGTATTCTACATATATCATGTCTTCCTTCCTTGTAGTAAAAAACTTTCAACCAAAAAAAAATGTTTTCTAAGTTTTTTGAATTGAGTGAAAGTTTATAGAGCAGATCATCAGTCCTGTATTCTGTAAATCATACACTTCGTTTCATTGCAGTGAATGCAGTCCCCTCCACGTACCATCAGTTAATAGTCTTTCTTTCACTTTAACTCTTGGTATCTTCCACTACCGTCATCTTTCCTCTACCAACATTAATAAATTTCAGGAAAACATCAACAAAAATTAGTACACCTTCACATCAAAATAAAAAGAAGGAAAATCAGAAAGATTTAGTAAACATTAACCCAACTAAATTCTTGATAATTTTTCATATCTGTTTGTTTTTAATACTCAACTCAAAAATAGGATTATAGGGTCAAAGGAAGTGGATGTGTTGTGTCATGAACAGTTTAAGAAGATAGAGTTGTAAAATAGTAATAATAAAGTATGTGATTTACTTAGGCAAAAAGTTTATAAAATTTCCTTTGTATTAGCTATTCAAGAGCAGTGGATCAGGCCACTAATCTGCCCTTGGCCCAGAATCTATTTGACGTTAAGTGAAAAGGGAATCTTGAGGCAGCAGTATTGGAGCAGCATCTGCCATTTGATGTTGTTAAGTGCTATCGAGTTGGTTCTGATTCATGTGATCCTATGTGTAGGGTTTCCGAGGAGCAGCTGGTGACTTTGAA